GCGGTCATTATTTGTATTTATAGCCTTGAATTAGTTTATTTTAGTATTGGAAAGACTCTTACCTTTCTTTTGAAATGAAATGAGAGGGAAATAGGAAAGAGAGAAGACTATGAGAGAAAAATAGAAGCAAATAGTACTTGATTCTGTACCCTAACAAGTCACTAAGGGGTTAAGATTCAAAATTGGCGATGCAACTTACAGTGTTTAGTATTGATCTACATCAATTCTCTTCTCCCTTCCTCGCATAAAATTTTTCCTTTAGTTGTCCCATTCTATAAAGAAAAATAAGGCGGGAAAAAAAAAAAAGCAAAGGTACAAAAACTCTTTTTCCTCTAGTTTTCTCTCTTTTCTATTTTTCTATCCCAAACAAAAGCTTAATAAATCTTGTGCATCCAACGTTTACCATATTTAACTTCTACCATAACTTTTTTAAATAAAAAGTTTATATAAATTGGATTTCCAGGCTTATTAAGTTCAAAATATGTCTTTAAATTCAAAAAACTATTTATAGATTGCCAACCAATAAAATTCTTATAAGATTTAAACCCATAATTTTGTTAGTTATTTCTGCCATATTAGTTCTTTGGTTGATTGAGAGAAAATTAGAGATTGACAAGTCTGGTGGGCGTAAGGGTCTATTTGGACGATTTCTTTTTACTATGAATATCTATTTAAAAAAAAAAAAAACTCTAGTCTTTTCAACCCAATTGGACCATTGTTATTCATCCTGGACAAAGGAATTCCATTCACTTATGGGGCTATCGTAAACTGTACTTTGGGCTAAGCCCAATAATTGTAAAACTGGGCCTTTATTCTTAGCTGAAAGAAATCATTGTTTGTGATCGGCCACTAATATTTCTATTCCAGTAATACTAAATGATGTATTTTAGGATTGGGCAGAAATTCTCTGGTCCTATTCAATTCAATCTGACCCCAAAAATATTCGATCCTATTCAATCTTATTAAAAATTAATCTTTTAAAATTTAAAAGATTAAAAAAATAAATAAATTATTTTTTCAGGTTGAATTAGATAAAAAATTGGACATGTAGATCACTTAGTCTAGTGATTATAATTAATTTATTAATTATTTATAATAATAAGTTAAAACTATTAATAATTTAATAAGTTTGATTCCTTATATGGTCGCACACTTAGACTAATAATTTAATAATCTGAACCACCTAGATTGTAATTGAAATATTTTTTTCTTGTTGTTATAAATTATTATGAATTTATTATAATTATAAGTATTTTTATTATCTTAATTTAGTTTATTAGATTGAAATAGATTATTGCTTTTCATAGAAAAAAAAGAAAGAGAAAAAAAACTAAATGAATATCGAACTAACAGGACTAATTTTTCAATCTTATAGATTAAGTATGATTTTATTAATTTTTAAATTATCACTGGACTAAATTTGACTGTAGTTGCCTAATCCAATCTTTTTAATAAAAGATATTAAATTTTAAGTTAGGTTAAAATCTAATCCCATCATGTATTTCATGCATAAAAAAAATAAATAATCTATCTCGCCAATGAAGGTCGGTGGTCCGTTTCTTAAAACACGAAGGGGGATAACAATCATGGAATTGAAGAGTTCTTTTTTGACCTGAAGAAAACTTCAAACTAGATATTTTATCGTTTTTTTATAACCAGCAAATATATATATATATATATATATATTAATTATTGTTTTTTATATGAAACATGATTTGTAAATAAAATTTCATTCATGATACGTACTACATCAATTCAATTTGATTAGTATGTTTATAAAAATCAAATTGCTGGACGGCGTTGCTGGAATGGGTGGGCTTGAACTTTGGAGGATCTGCAAAATCAACAATTTGTACAGGTGACTGTGACAGTCACTTTCGCGTGCGTTTCCTCTCGTGCCATTCACATCACACTTTTAAAACCCCACGTTGTGAAACACGTGTCCTTTTCCCCTTCTTTTTGGGGCCGTGGCAATGTCAAACATGTGTCCTTTCTTTCTTTCTTCGTTTTTTTTTTTTTAAAGGCGCCCTCAACTCTCCATTCATTTCAAAATTTATAAATCTTAAAAATATAAAATTATATGCAAGTTTTTTTTTTAAAAAAAATATAAAGGTTAAGATACAAGCATATCTAATGACTTTTTACCCCAAAAGAGCCGCCAGCATGTTTAAATTGACAATCATGCACTAATACCCATTAACTCACAAAACACGTTAATCTTCTCCAATGTGTTAATCAGGCATGACGTTGATTATTATGTTCAAAAGGAAAGAAAATGTTTGACTGTTTAAACGGACGTGGAAGAGAATATGTAACATGGGAGGAAGAACCAGGAAAAACGTTTACTTCCTCCATTTTTTTTAAGTTATTCTAACCAATTTTACCAATATTAATATAAAAAAATAAAATGAATGAAAGTGTATATAGTTTTAAATTAGCCTCTATAAAAAAAATTGAAAAAGTGATATTAGGATATTTTAAAAAAAATACATTTCAAATGTTATTTAAATAGTCTTATCATAGATAAATACTTAATTAGATCGGATAAACTACCTTATTTGTTATCTATCAAATTAAAATACTTTAAATAATCTAAATAAAATAGTGTAACTTTTTAAATTGATTTTATTTTTATAACAAGATGCACATTTGATTTCTTACCTTTTCTCTCTCTACTATTATTAATATTAGAATCAAATCATATTTAATATGATCTAAATATTATATTTTTATTGTATAGATCACAAATGATATCATACACTAGATTTACTTAAATATTTTTCTTTATTATAACTTATAAATAAAATCAAATGGACATTTTATAATGTGTCTTATAAATGAGATGGTAACGAGTAATGCCTTTTCCATCTATCCATGCAAAATCTACACTCATGGATGCTAGTAGTTGCTTGAAAAAAGTTTTTAAATAGTTGTTACATTTTAATTTAGGGGTGAGCATTTGATTAGTTCGGTTTTAATTTCTCTAAAACTGATCAACCAAAATATATAAAAAATATGGATTGAATTTAATCAAAATATATGATCAAATTAAATTAAAATTAAATTAAATTATAATGGTTTGATTCAATTGCTCTATTTGATTTATGAGCTTTGATTTGAATTTATAGAGTTTAATTATTCATATATTTTTCTATTCAATTTTTTTCCTTGATATTGAAGGCCAAACAAAAAAATAACAATCTTATACTATAATTCATGAAAAAATTAATAAAATCACTACTATTGCATTAAAAACTAAATTATATAAATAAAAAATTAGAACATCACATTAAATAAAAAAATATTATTACTACAGTAGTAAAAAGATATTTCTTACTCATCTAAATAAGAATTTATTCACATTTTTAAAATATGAAAAGAAAACTATATATAATTTGATTGATTTAGTTTATTTAGTTCAAAAATTTTAAAACAGAATTAAACTGATCAACAAAAATTTTTCTTAAAAAAAATTAAATCAAATCAAAAAATTAAATAAATCAAATCAAATAAATAATATTTGATTCATTTGGGTTTGCTCATCCCTACTTTAATTTCATATTTAATTGAATCTCAATTTAAATATAATAAATATATAAATTTTTTAATCTGAACGTTAATTAAATTTATACAATTTAGTCATTTAATCCGTACAATACGTTCGCAAGTGAAACACCACATGCCTGCCTTAAAAACAGCAAACCGACCAAGACTTGAGATTGCATGAAAAAAGAATTGTAATTTATGGTCAAAAATAATGTCAAAAGTAGAATTCAAAGTTCAAACTTGTGAAAGTCATTTTCAAAGATCTGATAAAGGTAAGCGCAAGGAAAGCCTCCCCATTTTTTCTATTTTTCCATAAATTTTATTTGATCAATGGAAAAATTTTAGAATTAATTAATATAAAAATAAAATATAGTACAATAACAGCATGTGATTTATAAATATTGTTTGATGTGATTTGAAAAGCCCAAAAAAAAAAAAGAGTTTCATAATACTAACTAAATTTTAAACCTGATGCATTGAAGTATTAATTTATGCTTTTTTTATTAAAAAATATAAAACACTTTTAAGGAGTTAAATGTTAACTTTTCAAGATATAGTCATTGTTTTTTAAAAAAATATTAATATTAATAATAATTTTATATTTTATTATAGAGTGTTTAATAGGGGTGAATATGAAAAAATATGATTAATTTAAAAATAAATAACTATTTTATTAGAGAGTGAGATTTGATTAAATTTTTTTATATTTTTAAACAGAGGGAGTATTATTTAAAAGAAATAGAGAGAAAAAAAGTAAAATTTAAATTTTTTGTTTTTTAAAAAATACAAGTAAAATTAACTATGTTTTTTTTAAAATTTTTTAACAACAACTATTGACTATATTTTTTTTTATTGGTGGTAAAATATAGGAAGTTTTTTAATTACTAGAATATACAAATATAAATAATAATTTATTTTAGTTAAAGTATATATTTAATTTTTTATCTTTACACAATATTTTATTTTAATCTTAATTTTATAACATATTTTTTTGGTGAATTTATAAAATATCTTTTTAATTCTTTAGTCCTAACATTATTAATGTTATCTCATCAATTTTTATATTAAATTTTTAAATATTGACAAAATATTATTAAATATTGATAAATTAAGTTTAATTATTTTAAAATGATAATGATTAACAAAAAAAATAATAATTTAAAATTAATGGTATTAGGATTAAAGGGTTAAAAAATATTTTATAAAATTAAATATTAAATTAAAATTTTATATAAAATTAAATGAATAAAAGTTAGAGATGATTTCCTATTCAAGTAATAGTTTAAAATTTAAGATGTTTATTTTAAAAATTTAAAATTTAAAAAGATAATAATAATAATAATAGTTTTGCGTCCCGTTAAACCGATATGGGGCAGGGGTTCTATTTCACATGTGTGTGTGTGTGTGTGTATTTTTTGACTGAATATATATATTATATATTCTGGCAAAAATCATTGAAGCGCGCAGATCACAACATAGCAAAGCACTAACCCGAGCAGCCATGGAGCTTCCTCTATCACACCGACTTCGATCGCTCAGATTACCCTTCTCTCCCATTCAACAACCTCTTCATCATCAAATACCCACCACTTCCAGATTCAACTTCAATCTCACTCGTCCTTTCTCCAACACTAAACTCACCGTATCCGCCCTGAGGAAGCCTCCAATCGAAGGCTTGAGCGACGACTTAAATGCCATAGCTAGGCGCAACCTCGACTTCGCTTACACTCGCAGGCACGTTCGTGAAGCTTTCAAGGGACTGCAACAAGGGCTGGATCATTGCTTATTCAAGGTTAGCCTGCTTAACCTTTTATTCTTCATCGTGATCGCCTCTATGCTTTAGTTTCAGCCGTTTGATCTGTTGGGAATTTTCAAGAATCTTCCTTTCTTCGTGTTCAATCAGTGACTGATGTTTGAATCTCTTCCTCTATTCGTCTTTCATGGCCATCGTAGACGGCTCCTGCTGGGATCATAACTGACGAAGTAAGCTGAGTTTATACTCTGAAGCCTATTTTTCTTTTTCGAATTATTTTGTTACTTTAATGATGACGCTAGTATTGATTGGCTCTCTCAAACTTCTTTTTCTATCACTTTGTTACCTGAAAATTTGACTTGATTTAAGTTCATCCTTCTAAAAGTAAAGATACTTATTATATAAAATTAAACTTTCCGGTATGAAAGTTATCCAAGGATTCAATTTTTACTGGGTCTGTCTTTCGAGGACCAAAACGGGGCTTTACTTTTTCCCCTTTTAATTAATTCATGTTAACTGGGTTAAAAATGTGATTCATTTAGGAGGCTATTGAGTTGATATTCTGGATGCTTTTTGCAGTGGTACGAAAGGAATTCCAGGGGTTTGGAAATTTTCTGCAAAACTTGGATGCCAAAACCAGGCGTTCCAATCAAAGCAGCTGTGTGTTTCTGCCATGGGTATGGTGATACTTGCACATACTTCTTTGAAGGTTTGTCATTATCTCTTTATTCAATTATTCTTTGTCGGTTCAAGTCGTATCAGTATGTTGGAGCTTTCTGCAGTTAAAAAAAATTCAAGAGATTCATCATATAACGCAATAGGGAGAATTTGAATTTTCAGGTATTGCCAGGCGGATTGCTGGATCCGGGTATGCTGTTTATGCTATGGACTATCCTGGCTTTGGTCTTTCTGAAGGACTACATGGTTACATACCGAATTTTGATTATTTAGTTGACGATGTTATCGAACACTATAGAAAAATCAAAGGTCTGATGTTTTAGCCTTTATGATGTTATATTGAGGATTGCTATTTTTTCGCATTGAAATGCAAAATGTAATTGAGCATGCCTTGCACCTTAATTGTGACAGCTAGACCTGAGCTAAGAGGGTTGCCTCGATTTATATTGGGCCAGTCAATGGGGGGAGCTGTTACTCTCAAAGTTCATTTGAAGGAACCAAATAATTGGGATGGTGTTCTCCTTGTTGCACCCATGTGTAAAGTAAGATTATTTTACTTTATAGCCGTTAATGTCGAACAACTTCACCATTATAATTTTGTAGTTCTGTTTGAGATCAAATTCTAATTACTGAAATCTTAAATATCTAACCAAATACTGTTTCTTTTCATTCTGAAGCAGGAAATATTGCCTTGGAATTTATATATGTCACTATGTAACTGTTTCTGTCACCCAAGTTCTGTTCTTATTTTGGTAGCTCAAAAAATACAAACTCCAATTAATTTAAACTCTTGATTTCTCCTTTTTAACTTATTCTTAAAACAGGGATGGAACTCTTGGACCTTCATGCCATAGGCATAATTAACGGTGAAATATAAAGAAAAACATAATGTGTCAAAGCCGATTATCAGGCCTGAAACTGTTGTCCTAATTGTTTATGTTTTAAATAATACATGTATTGCACTATTATTAGGCAAGATAAAATCCACTTACTTTGGTTTAAAGACAAGTTTTTATAATCATTTGAGTATGCTCTGTAAAGTTGAGTTTTGGTGTACTGTATATTCTCAGCTAGTTTATGCATCAATCTTGGAAGTTGGAACCATTTCCTGCCTTGCAGGATTTTTGCTTCATTTTGTGGCTTTAGATGGTTCTTGGTAAATATCAGATGGAGGAAGAAAGTTCTCAGCACCGAGAAATCTTTGCCTGAAATAAGATCTAGATATTACTGAAAATGAGTTATGAGTGTCAAAACAAAATTATCAATCTCTTGAAACGTGTAGGTGTCTATCAAGACAAGATACAACTAATTACTCATTTTAGCTTCTTAACTTTCTGGTTTTAGTTGAGGTTAGACTTAGACCAAGGATATGCTACTTCAGGCTTGAGGTTAGACTTAGACCAAGGTTAGGCTTGGAGATGGAGACAGTGTAGTGATGGTGACCTGATTCGTATCTTTACCTAGCGTAGCCTTTTAGTCCTTGAATAGCCTTCAGGAACCTGTAGATCGCTTTGAGGATTAAACTTTCAAAGGGATCTGGTGTGACGGTAAAGCATATTTAAATAAACTGATGGAACCTAACTAAATTGTCTTGAAGATGTACTTTCAGTTTGTTATCACATTATTTTTGAGTGAAAGACTAAAAAAATTATGTTGGACTATGGGCTGGCCACTACCACTCATTTTGTGCCTGAAAAGTGAAAATGGTTGTCGGAAAAGGAGTCCCCAAAGTTAAACTATGGACCATTAGTTATTGTGGATTGTGGACCACCTAGTTTGCAAGGAAATTACTGAAAGCTTAAATAGTCTAAAATTACAGCCAAAAAATAGTTCGTCTCCAGAATTGCGACTGCTTTTGGATTGAATAAACTCTTTATCTTTCTAGAAAAGATGGATCATTCTTTTAAATATTGTTGAGCATATAATCTTTATGAACTTGATATCACTTAAGTCTTGCTTTTGGAACTGATTCTGAAAAAGTTCCACAGAGTCTACTATTCAAAAATTTATTACTGAACGCTATGGGCTGTGGAAGAATCATTGCTTGATTATTGGCTTATTGCATTATTTGTTGTGGAATTTATTCTCTTCTACTTCAATTATGCATGGCTTGTTGATTCAGATAAAGTAATAACCCTAGTGTTATAAATAAGTTAAAGACAGTAGATGTTTTGAAAAGGTGATAATGGAAACAGATTACATTTGAATTGAACTAAAAGTGACCATTTGTTATATTCTACCTTCTATTTGGACTTTGGAGGTTATATTAGTATATACTGCCTGATTTATTGATCTCTGTGGCTGTTCAAGGTTGCGGACGACTTATTACCATCAGATGCAGTTTTGAAGGTATTAACTTTTCTGTCTAAAGTGATACCAAAAGCAAAACTCTTCCCACAGCAAGATTTAGCAGAGCTGGCCTTCAGAGAACCGAGCAAAAGAAAATTGGTTGGTTTCTTTGTCAATCCTATTCTTAGATCTGAAACTAACTGTTATTCCTTCTTAAACCAAATGTCTTTTATTTACTGGGTCTTTGACTTGTTAAGCTTTTGTTTTTTATCGTGTGGGTTAATAAACTTTTGATGATCATCAACTCTTGACCCAATAATAAAGTTAAATTCTGGAGTGAAGGTTCCCATCTGAGTTTCAAAGCATTTCTTTATGTTTTCATTTTATTGGGGATCTAGTGTACTTTTCTCGTCTGAAATATTTCCGACAATTTTGATATCTGGTGATTTTTTAAATAATTTTTCATTTAATGGATGCTTGTCTTCTGTATTTTCATACAACATCATGCTCAGGATCAATGACTCGACCCATAGACATTACTGTGGAAGTTACATACACGCTACGCTTTAAAGTTCCATAAGATTTTTTGGCTTCGAACACATGAAGGGCTCAATAATTTCTTCTAGTATTGAATTTGCCACATTCTTGTATTTAGCATTCACTGCAGTTTGGCTCAAAAGGAAGGAAAATTCACATATGATATGCATTTTATCCTAAATTGTTTTGTTAACCATACATCATCTCAGACCCAGAGTTTGGCCGATTCATCCGATTGCATATTCTTTTCTTTGAACGTGCAACTTTTCTCTGCCTCAACCCCTCCCTTCATAGGAAAAGAACAGGAAAGATGAAAATCTACAGTGACGAAAACTTCAGACCATGAACATTCATATAGACAAAGCCAATTTGGCAACACGCTCAGCATACACGCTGTGACTCTTTGTATGGTTTCTTGTAATTGTACTATGATTGACATTGTCATTCCTGTCTTAATTGTTTCTTTTGTAGGCTGTGTACAATGTTATTTGTTATGAAGATCAGATGCGTCTTAGAACTGGCATGGAACTTTTAAAGGCCACACAAGATATTGAGTCACAAGTCGAGAAGGTCAGTTTTTTTATTTGCTTGCTTACTGTGTTTGTTATGTTTCCAAAATTTACTGTGGGTTCCCCCAATGGTTGTTTCTGGTTTCTCCATGCATTTGTGCTTATATCATTGGAAACGTCTTCATCATGGAGGGGTGTGGCATTGCAGGTATCAGCCCCGTTATTAGTTCTTCACGGAGCAGACGACAAGGTGACAGATCCTAAAGTGAGTCGATTTCTTTATGAGAAAGCATCCAGCAAGGACAAGACGCTAAAAATCTATGAAGGTGGTTATCACTGCATTTTGGAAGGTGAACCAGATGACAGAATTTTTGCTGTCCATGATGACATTATTTCATGGCTTGACACAAGGTGTGCTATAAAAAGGGAGGTTCATGTTTCATACCGCTGAGCAAATTATTATTTCTAGTCATTTGTGGGTGGTTCAGCTTCCATCTTCAATAGTATCATCGAATAAATACGCCACTTGTGATTTCCTGCATGGTGTTGCCTTCTGTCATCGTTGCCTGCCTTCCTATTTTCTGTCATCCTTCAAGCCATGCTTTCATAGATTTTCACTTCTTAAATGCCCTCCTGAGTCCTCACAACACCCTAATAAATGGAGTGGGAAAGTCATTGCTGATTCCATCTCTATATAGTTTGAGGTTTTAAGCTAAGCTATTGTGTTCTTTTATGGGACATTGTATGCTTGTCAGATGTAATGTAGTTTTACATGTTGGTTCCATGCATTGTATTAGGTATAAGTCGTATATATACTATTTAAGCTTATGAATGGCGCGGTTTGTACATATTGTTATTGAACGGATTAGCTTATAACATGCTTGCTAACACTTTTCCTCCTCTCATGTACATGGCTTTTTCTTCAAATGACAAAACTATATCTTTATTTTAATTTCTTTAATTCCTAGTGTTAATTTTGAGCCATATGAAGGTAGAGGAATGAAATTATTAGAAGAGATCTTTTGATTAATATAATATTTTCAAAGTTTTGATTGTTGATAGAGTATAGTAACGTGGTTCAATCAATCTAGTGAAATGAAATTGTTTGTAATGATTGTTGACTTGCACATATTGAATATGAGAAAGAAATGATTGCCTCAAGATTCTTATTTTTTTTTTGGTTAAAATGATTATTCTAGCATAAGAAAAAGAATTGAAAGAATATCTTAAATGAACCAGACATATGGTATTTTTTTTTTCCCCTAATAAATAAGAGCAGGTGGAGTAACATTTTTATTTTATAAAAATAGAAAGGAAAAATGACAATTATGCTAAATTATGAAAATTTCAATAATGGTTCATAATCTTTACTTCAAATTAAAAATATTTAAATTTAAAATCAAGAAAAATACTACTAAAATTATTATTATGAGTAAGGATTATTGTTAATTTTAGTTGGGAAAATCAAAAATCATACCAGGGGATGGGTTGTTTTCCAAAATGAAATAAAAATTTACTTATAAAACTTTCAAAAGATACTTGTAAATATATGACAGTTATTTAAAAATTTACCAAAGTCATTTTTGTATATAAAGTCAATCATTTGTAAATTTTTATACTTGTCAATATATATGTAAACTACTTGAATAATTAAAAAAATGACATTATTGAAATTACTTTTATGAGTTGAAACTATTATAAATCTCAGTTGGAAACACTATAATCTCAAATGTTATGGGTTGAGACTAATGAAATTATTATTATGAGTTAGAACTATTGTTAATCTCATTCTTAGATGTGAATTTTAATTTTTTCAATTATGATTAATAATAGTTTCAGTCCATCATAATAATTTTAGTAGTGTCTTTTTTTAATTTTAAATTCATGTTTTTAATTCTAAATCAGGATCATGATATATTATTAGGATTTAAATAATTCAGGATTTTTAATAGTGGTCAATGATTTCATGGGTTCTTAATTGTCATTTTCCCAAATAGAAATAACGTAATCACATGGGTGCATGATTCTGAGCGATCTATTTTGTAGGATCCAGGTGCCCAATCTGTTTAGGCCCGTAACTATAGGCTTCGCCTGATTCAATCGGTCCAATCAACCCATAAAGCCTGTGCCTACCTACTCTTCTTCGTCTGTGCAGATATATTTTGTCACCCGAAAAAAAAAAATGAAATAAAATAAAAGAAAGAAAGAAATATATTTGCCCAAAACGTGTTTGATAGATAATGCGCCGATAAAATCGAACCATGTTTTTGACCGAAGGGTGTGTGTTTAATTAAATTTAGTCTTTAAATTATAAACCATCAAACTGAAGCCAAGCAAAACCACGTCTTAACAAATTAATTCCAAAAGTTCTCAAATGTGCGCAAAATGCACAAGAAGAATAAAATTTGAGTATAAATGATTGCTTCTATTGATAAGAAATTCAAAAAAAAAAAAGAAGCTAGAGAAGAATGACATTGTTAATGAATTTGACAAGTGTTAATATAGTTTTAGTACGTTTGAATCTCTACTCTAAAAAAGTGTTTATATTTAGAGTCTGTTTGATTTTCTTACATTTCACATCTAGAAAGGATTTTCGAAATTTATGAATGTTAAAGTCATTTAATTTCTTAAAATTTATCCCAAAATTCATTTAAAAAGTGTATTTAAAAAGCTTTCAAACCACATTTCTTCAACTTAACTTTAGGTAGTTTTTTGAAAGTGCTTTCAATATTTTTTTATTTAATTATTATTTTTTTTTTGGCCCAGATCTTCATTCCACCAAAATAACAAGTCTCAACAAAAGCAACCATAGAAGTAAAAAGAAACAGTACAGTAACAAAAAAAATCCAAGAAAATGAGAAAAAATAAACAAGAAACTAAACAACGCATAAATAGCAACAGAAAGAAAACTCCCTATCAAAAAACACTGTTAAATGATATTAATGAACCTGTTTATCAATTTCTGCCCATAGAAAACACCGCATTAAAAAATGATTTATCATATTAATTTTTAATATTAATATATATTGAAGTATTTATATAATTATTGTTCAATATATCATAAAAATAATTTAATTTATATTATTTATCATTATTTTATTATAAATGTTTTCCCAACTTTTTTAGTTTTACATTATTTTATACAATTTTTATTATACAAATTATTCAAAATAATTTTTTATATTATTTATACATTTTTTATTTAAAATTTTTATCACATTTTTGAAACATTTCTAATATATTGCATTTATATAACAAAAACTATAAATCATCATAAATTAACATCTTTTTTTACATTTAAAAGTACATTTTATTATATATAATTTAAATAATTTTTAATTTATCAAATTAATTTTTTTAAAAATATATTTAAATATAAATTTTATTACAACAATTAATTTTTATTAAATTGAACGAAATTTTAACAATCAAACTTTTAATCAACGGAAACCAAACACACATTTAGTACTCAAATCATTAATTGAATATAATTACTTTTAATAAAAGAATCTGTGTACGCAATTTACTTGTCTAACATTTAGAGTTGTCTGATAGAAGAATCCAATTGGCTCTTCCACCGGCCCAAAGTCATATGAAATTAACAAATTTAATTGTTTATAACAAGACAAATTTAATTTGATTTTTAGAATAACCATAACTTCATCATATAATGGATCGAATTCATCAATCATGGAAAAAAAGGAAGTATTCGATCATTGCTAGGTCCAATAAAAACTACTACGATTTTGTAGTTCAGCCAAGAACGCTTGTCCCCATTTCAGTAACGCTTGGATCAAAATTAAAGAAACAGTTTAAAATTGAAGCCTTTCACTTATGATGATCATCATGGGCTCTAATTAAATTGCTCTTTCAATTTCCAAAATACATGTAATAATATAATATTCATACCCCAAGCAGCTTAGAATTTAATAAGAGAATTGTTGAATTCCAAGTTCCAAGCAGGAATTTGAACGAGACAAGACACTTGAAAGTTCCAAGGGAAACAAGTGTGAGGGACACACACTGTGACTTTATACTGTTCAACAATGTACAATGTGAATCTTTGGACAAGACATAACTAAGGTTGAAACTGTTCAAGTTCGACCTAAGTAAAGTGCAGCAGCTGGATATTAACCTTAAATCATTTATGAGCTCCGAAGTTCATGCATGCCTAATCAGCCTCTGTCGTCGTCTGTGTTTCTGCGTGCCATAATTTTAAGGGTGCCGACAGCTGAAGAAGACAGTGTTGTGAGTTGTTTTAAGGAGAGTGAGCGTCTGTTGAGTGAGACCCCATGCATGCCAGACAGAGAGAGGGTCATGTCTTGGCTTTAATTTTCCATTTTGGTATGCTTCTGTATGGCCCAACATTTGCAACTTTTGCAACATTGCACGAGTTTGGTTTGCTTTGTCCCACTCAGGCTGCCCCTACTTTACTAACCCTACTATTATTGTCTGCACACCTTCAAGTTATCTCTTTTAATTTCTCTACCTTCAAATATAGATATTAAAATTTACGACAAACGATAAGGGGGACATATGATGATGAGTTTGTATTAATTATCATCTTCATCTTAAATTATAAAATATTTTTAAATAAAATTTAATATTTTAAAATATAAAAAATTTTAATAAAAATAAAATTTTATTAATAATACATTTTTAATATTATAATTTTTAATGTATTTTATTTTTATTATTTTTTATAAATAAAATATTAAATGAAGGATATTTTTAAAAGTTTGTATTTTTTTAAAATAAAATTATAAACTGTATTTATTGAGTTTCATTGATATGCATAATTTTTGTCCGAAAATGTCTTATAAACTGGGATGAGGGGAGTACGTATTATTTTGATCAAATTTTAACTAATACTCTACATTTAATTTAACAACTTAGTAATATTTTTGTGTTTATTAAAGGAATAAAATATAACTTGTAGTCCTTAAATTTTTTCTCAATTATGATCTAGTCTTTGAATTTTTATTCAATACAACTCCAGTTCTATAATTTACTGAATTAAGGAAATATAATAAATGAGTTGTTCCGAGTGAAAAAAATATATATAAGGACTAAGTTGTTACAAATAACAATTTAAATTGATAACAAATTCAAGAACTGAAAGTAATATTTTTTTCATATTAAATTAGAATCATTAAAGTTTGATTGGAATAGTTTAGATTGTGCAACGGGACAAAGAGGATGAACGAATCTAGGCATAAGTCTTCTTAATTCGCTTCAACTCATTGTTTTCTTTATTTATATATTTTATTATTTGGTTATAAAAGTGGCATAAACATAAGAAAAGTGGAAAAATGAAAGATATTTTGAAATGATTTCACCTAAAATTGGGAGAGAAAAATTATAAGATCATGAGACACTTCCATTCGAGACTCCAGGATCTTGATCACCTACATTCACAAAAATGAATGTACCTAGGTTCGTCCGGGAAAAAAAAATCATGATTGTATTGATGACACATGCGAACTAAACAACATTTTCTTGTTATAAGGTGATTGAGACATTTTTCATCTAGATCAAGAAAAGTTATTACATTGCTTTATTTGTTAAAAATATCATATTTTTCTAACAAAAGGAATCTAAATACTTTCTAAAGTTTATAACATTAAAACTAAGGGTGCAAACGAAACATTATTTCAACACCTCATAATTAGGACTACTTTTGTATTTTTATAAAGCAATCGAAGGGAGTACAGATGAATGAATATCAAGAATTTAAATTTTTGAAAATCAAATGACAGAGTAGAGATAGATTTCTTATTTCTCTCATTCTCTCTTCAAACTTGAAGTAAAACAAACTTGAACGAAGATTCTTTCTGGATAAATATAAAATTCGAACTGGAAAAGAAAAAAAAAGTGAACAAGAAGAATCACTTCGCCCCCCCCCCCTCTTAATAGCGCATGAATCTGTGACGTGGGATTTAATCT